AAATTAATAATTATGGTAGTTTGAGTTAAAATTATAATTAGAGGGCATTTTAGGTATTTTTAAAAAACTCCTCTCTCCTTTCTCATCTCTCCGACCTCCAATCTCCAGCATTCGGTGAACAAAAATCCGACACGTACCAAGTAATCACAAAGATACACAATGTGATACCCATTGTGATATACTGTGATACCATTTGAGTACCACTGTATATCACAATGAATATCACATTGTGTATCTTTGTGATTACTTGGTACCTGCCGGATTTTTGTTCACCGGAAGCCGGAGATTGGAGATCGGAGAGATGAGAGAGGAGAGAGAAGAGAGGAGTTTTCTAAGAATACCTAAAATGCCTTCTAATTATAATTTTAATTCAAACTACCATAATTATTAATTTCTTAATTTATCCGTTGATTTGTGGTTGAGAATGTATCTCACAGTTACCACAAACTAATCGGTTCTCATTTGATTAAGCCCCTATATATATATATATATATATATATATATATATATATGACTTGGGATCATGTGAGACCAAGCGTTTTTCGTGAGACCCGTAAGACCAATTCTCAACCCTTGGATTAGATCTACAATCGTCAGATCTAAACATTCACAAACGCCACGTGAGTTTTCAATAATCACAAAATTGCCACTGTGCAATTTTAGACTATTAGATCATTAGCTTATAAAATTGATCAATAAACGTAAATTGGTCTTACGGGTCTCACGAAAAACCTTGGATCTCACGTGAACTCAACCCACATATATATATATATATATATATAGATATATAGATGCCATTGACATTGTGGAAGGGAATAGAACCTCCTTTAGTTTTGGCTTTTGCTAGGCATCTTCTCTTTAAGAATCCAATTACACAATCTTAGTGCTCACATACTATTTTAAATTATTTTATTTAATTATATTATATTATTATATTTTTTAACTAAAACTTTAATTTATTTTTATTTATATCATCTAGTTTATCAGTTAGTTTTAACTAAACTAATTTTTCAGATAACAACTATCTTATCAACTAATTTGTCAAAATACGAGCAAACACCTGCATATACATACGTTTACAATCAAATACAGAAAAAAATCGCACACTCCCAAAGCACCTTATGGCTCATGCATCAAAAAATTGCAAAGGGTGTATCCTTTTTGTCTTTCTGTCTAGGAGTGTTTATGGGTTGGGTTGATTGGGTTGAAGACATTTGAACAATCCAACTCAATGCTTACGGTATGAAAAATCTTAACCCAACTTAAACCAAACCAAAGTGCAAACCAACCCAACCTAAAACCGTACGGGTTGATCGGGTTGATACTTTGGTGCCTTAAAATATTCTTCTAACTTTGAATATGTTATTTCTTTATTCATAATTTCTTTTTTATCATCAACTATTTAATACAACTTATCCATAATTTTTTACGTATATCACATTCAATTAATTTTATCAATATACATATATATGTTCATATTACTCAACATATATACGAATGAGTTATATGAAGATGGAGAATAGATTGAAAATATGTATATATGAAGAGCGCACGTGATAGTGTAATTGTCTAATGTATATATTAACATAAACTCAACAATCATATTAAATCCAAGAAATAAAAGGATATCGGGTTCATCGGGTTGAGTTGGGTTCAAATAATAGTAACTTAATATCAACCCAATACCTACGGTTTGAAAATTTTACAACTCGATTAGAAATCGGGTTTGCTTCGGGTTGAGTATTTTCTCATTGAGTTGATCGGGTTGGTTGGATTTTTGAGCACCCTCTATCAGTAAAAAACTAAAAAAAATATCGTTTTAGCTTGTTTACACATGATTATAACGACAATTACATTTTTTACCATCATTTTATTTTTT